GTCTACGAGTCAATTCAAAACTTGGTGATCAATGACTATTTTGTTGAAATGTCATTATATAAAAAAAAGCTTTTGACTATTCGAATACAGGGGTGATGATACTATGGTTTGTTTGTATTTTTAATTCCTCTTTTTTTTTTGGATCAAAATGGCATGGCATTTGAAATTAGGTTATTTTTTGTTTTATACAAGATTTTACTGACGATTAAACAATAATTAATTATTTCTTTTTTAATGTAAACGTGAAAAGAAATCTAGGAAAACAACAGTCATGATAAAAAATGTTTTTACCACCAGAGCAGAAACAATGTTTTCAAATCTTAATTTACAAAAACCCAACTTGTTGAATAAGAGTAAAAAAAGAGTCAATACTGACACTTCCTTCTTCTCACAGTGAGGCAAAGAGAGAGAGAGAGAGAGAGACCACCAGAGCAGACTGGAGAGACCAAAATACACAGGCCAGTATTGGATCAGCGGGAAACAAGGACATACACACACCCTGACACACACTGGCACATATACAGATGGGCCGTGATGCACAGAGCCAGCTATAAGCTTCATTTCCTGTCTGGATCAGTGCCATTCTTCCTCGACAAGAGGTCAAAGAGCCAGCATTGCACCACACAGAGACGACTGCAACAGCCTCTGCTGCCTGTGCGACAGTGTTCACAGAACACACACACACACACACAAAGTGTAGACTGTAGTGGCATGCAGCTGTACCTCTGAGGAATGAGGAGTGGAATGAAAAATAAAGTCAATTACTACGAGCCAGGCACGGGTAACAAATACAGAAAGCTCTTTCGAACACAAACGGCAAATGAGTCGAGCAGTCGGACATCAGTACAGTGGAACGGTAGCAACTGTGTTCTTCTTAGCATAGCACAAAGCTGTGGGAACAAATTGTCTGTGTGTGTCTGTGTGTGTATGTGCGTGAGGCCTGTTGTTTGCAGCTCCATCGTTGTGGTTACTGTGTTCAATCATCAAACTGGCCAGTTCCACAGCTGAGACACTGATGTCACTGTTAACACAGATGAACTGTTGTGCAATGCTGCACTGTTGCACTACTCTTATCTGTTCTAACTACTGTGCTTCACTACATGAAAAAGAAAATCATACATCTGCATTTTTGTTTCTTTCTCATATTAATAATTACATCATTTGGATTAGTCACGAGCTACCTGCTGATTTTTGCCTTTCTGTCCCAGCGATATATAGGAAAAATATAATTTTATAAAATGTTTATGGAATGTTTATTTATCACTACAAATTATGATTAATCTACAACGACCGTGATTAAACAGATTAAATATTGTAATCGTCTGACAGCGAGTAAAGTTTAGCTAGAAATAAAAAACGGTAGATCATCAAGTAAAGTAAGAAAGAAGTGAAACTTTTAGTTATAGATGTGGTTTTTTTTTGGAAATGTTTTGGGGTGAACAGGTTTTCATTTTCCCCCAACTTGGTGGAGTTTCCCCACCTTGTCGTATCACTGAAACATCGTTGGAAAATGACGCTGCATTTGAAACCCACCTCCATCTCGAGGTCCAACACATGGTCTAAAAAATCTGATTGTTTGAACCAGGTTCAACATAATTAATAACTAGTTGCTATTTTATTACTGCTGCTATTGTTTTACTAATTTTCATCACTGGTGTGTCAATTACATTTTTGGGAGGACGTTTCATCAAATAGGGAAAAATCAAAATTATGACGCAGGAGCTGCAGAATGAACCAAACACGTAGACACAGGCACCACACCGGTGCACTCCCCTCCCTGTCGGCCCTCTCTTTTTTTTCACAGTATCTCAGAGACCTTCTCAATGTGAGGCATTTTCCTCCAGCAGATGGACAAAGCTCTCCCTGTTCACAGGCGCTTAGCAGCCACTTCACACTCGGCACAAGGTGGAAGCCCCACTAGTCCTCTATTCTCCTCTCAGACCTTTTCTGCCTCGGCTCTGCAAAGAGACCCGGATGGGATGAATAACACTGGCAGCAGGGGATGTGAAACGTAAACAAACACCTGACAGCAGAAAACTCCGGCATGACACGGCTGCAGAGACGCAAACTCACAAAGGTCTGCCACCAAGTGATGCGGAAGAGAAACCAGCGGAGCGACTCTGAATATCAATGAGAGGTTTAGACCCTGGTATGTCATGAGGGACACCAAAATCCTGTTTAATGGTATTTAAGTGAACTGTTGTGGTTGGGCAGTAACTCCATTATTTGCTTCATTCAGCATGAATTACAAAAACCCAGGCTTTGTTCAGGTCAAGTTCAGCTTGACTGGACTGTCTGCAGTTTGGATTTGGATACATGTTCTCCAAGTATTTGTTGCCCAAGAAAAAGCATTTAGAGGAATATTAGAAGTACATGTTCACATTTGTAAAACATTTATCAAACCAACTACACACATAACATCCATCTATCCATCCATTACCATATTGTAAAATATATTATAAAATATTTTTTGGCCTAAATCCAGTGGTGCAAAAATGAACAACACGTCTAGATTTTAATACAGTCCATCAGGGCCAGATAAGAGCTAGAAGATCAGTGAGAGAGAAATGAAGAGCACCAACACACCACAAATATTCTCGTCTTCCTGCAGCTGATCTCAACTGTGCCACCTTCTATCTGATAAAGAACATGAGACAGCACTGTGTAGCGTTACGTTAGCCTGCATGACAACACAGTTGGCACCTGATCCAGCTCCACCCTGAAAAAGCAGCCACCGCCCAGCAGACACACCTAGACTGGACTGAGCTTAACGTAACTGTGGGCCAACAGCTTTGACGCCACCCGCTGACGTACTGAGTGAACAGCATACCGATGTGTTCGTAGTTGAAGAATTCTCAAGTGTGTTTACTCTTCTTTATCACATTTGAACTGGCACCAGAGAACTTTGTCTTCTTCCTCGCTCTACACTGTAAAACCAATATACCACCCATGTTACAGGCTCTTCTCTCCATTACTCATTCAACAGAACGCAACGACGTCCTCCAGGGCCGGCACTAATCTCATATCCATGAGCTGTGAGCGCAACGTGATAGTGATGATCCAACAGGACAGTGGAGAGCAATAAAACACACCCACAGTCTTCTGAACAGGACAGCGGAGAGCAATAAAACACACCCACAGTCTGCAGAGCTGACAAGTCCTGCCTCTGTATTATTAAAACAGAGACACGCTTCATTACAGGACACACATTAGGACTCCGGCTCCTCGCTTCCTCATAAAAACAACAAGACAGTGATGAAGACGTTCTGCACCAACTATTTTATACTCTCAGCGTCGGGGCCGCTACATTCCTTGTATTCGCTACAGATTAATCAGATAAGAGCAGGATCGGTTTAATGTACAGAGATTTTCCGCTAAATTAGTTCACTTTCCTGCATTTCCTCGCACTGAAACAAAAGCAGCACATTTCTTTGGTGACCTATAGTTAACTCCACTCGATACAGTCTAGTTAATCTTTACCATAGATTCTAAAAGCACACAAGCAGCATATAAAGAGTGGACTTTCCCACAGAAAGAAAAAAAAAAAAAAACAGGAAGCAAACTTTATTTTTTATACCCAGTCTGTCAAAACTAACAAGTTAATATAAAAAAAAATTCTGAAATGAATGAGAACATTTTATCCACCATCCAGTCACTAATCATTGCACTAATGCACACTCGATAAACAGGTTGCCATTTACTCAGGCTGTGGGTAAAAAAAGGGATTTGTTTCAACAAAGTTTAAAAATATCATCTCAAGGCCAAGTATGTGTTCGTCGGGAATTCAATTTCAGGTCAGAGGCATTCGACCCGCCTCGAAGTGGAGGGCAGTAAGTTTACAACTGACAGGCTGACTGACTAAATATTTAGTATGAAAAAAATTTCAAATATTTATCAGCCCTAGATTGTATGCAAAAACAGGTACAACCTTTTTTATCGATTTCAAAGTCCACAAAGGCTATTGTTACCGAGTCAACAGCAGACAGTGGCGCCATGTTGACCTTCATATTGCCTGCCAGTCATTTGTCAGGAATCAGGATATTGAGTCAAAAAAAGTGAAGGAGAGTAAATAGACCCACTCTCGCCTTTCTCTGCTAGTCATGGTCTATTTTCTTGAGCCGTTCTCACTCTCTCTCTTTAATTTACAGGCTCTCTCTCTCTCATTCCCACTCTCAAGTCCTCATTTCCCTCCATTAGAGTGAAATGCCGACCTTCAGTGCATCCTGAAAGAATTTCTGGCCGTGTGAATGAGGCTCAGTCGGAGGAAAAACAGAGATAGTGGACATGGGAAAGAAAAGTCAAGAGCTCAGCCCGTACCAATATTACATCAAGAGGAGGATATCAATTTCTCCTTTGTAGTGTTTGGTTTAGTCATGATAGGCTGCAACAGTTTCTGATTCCCGGAATCAGATGTCACAATGTCGGCACTTTATACGTTCATTGGATAGAATCAGATCAGTCACAGTCACGTCATGTCGGCACTTTATACGTTCATTGGATGAAGGACTGGATTTATACATTTTATAAATAATAGAGTAAATTAAAAGTGTGTTAAAATTCAACTTTTACACCATTCTAACTTTACAACAATATTAAGAAAGAAGTAAAGAACACTAACAGTCATCACGGCTGTGCAGAAAGAGAACAACGGAGGGAAAACATAATGGAAAAACAACAGGAGAAGCAATTGCTTTTGCAGACTCCACACTGATGGCTGACTTTCTATGGTAAATAAAGACACTACTCAGTGTGCAGGTGCCGGGGAAGACGACAGAAGGACAATAGTAGGACAAACAGAGCTGCGGTCTCTCTGTCAAGCACACAGTCAGTCAGACACTTGGACAAGACAGATAAGCTCATATAGAGGAAGCCATGGTTACTTGAGGGAGCCTTGCACTGTTTTCAAATAACACAAACAGTGTGAAAGTAAAAAAGAGAAGTGGGAAATGTGGGCCACCATTTGTTACAGCTGTGTTTTCATATCGCTGCGGATCTCTGACCTGAGAAATGTGGTTGATGGAGGACTCCATGCGCCGCAGCTGTGATGCCTGGATGTCCAGCAGCTGCAGTACATTGTTGGCTAAGGCATTGATCTGGTAGGCTACGCTGGCCAGGGACTGAGTGGTGTAGGCTTTGGTCTCCTCCAGAGCTTTCCTCTTGTCCTGGGCCTGTGATCAGATCAATAGGAGAAAAGAAAAAATAACAGTTGAGAAAGAATCCAAGTGACGTTCATGTCACATCACATCAGTGAGCCGTCTAACTGGAGCAGGCTCCTGGTGAATTAGGGTCAATGGGACAACGAGGTCATCCAACTAATAAACTGATGTAGACTGGGGTTTTAAATTCTCTGCCGTGTTTTTGCTACTACATCACACTCTAAACATGCATTTTCACTTTGGGTTTGTAAAGCCATAAAGTGTTAGTGTATAAACTGATGTAGACTGGGGTTTTAAAATGCATTTTACATGTAGTACAAATGTAAATATTGAACATTATTATCAGACAGATGCTCTGAGTTTGTTACTCTCCAAAAGACATGCAAAAACAGAAGTACAGAAGACATGTTTTTGGGACAGAGAAGCCCCGTCACACACTGTTCTAAAGCACTGGATAGATATAATTGAACAGAAAAAGTGGACCAGGGCCACTGTGATAATGACATGTTATTTAAAGCCACCTCGTAGCACATCAAACAGGTTACAGCCAGGAGCTCAGCTCCAGAACAGGCCATCCTGTTCGATGTCAGCTTGCTGGTCCCAGGGCGGTTCACCCATAAAGCAGAATCCAAAGAGCAAGAACATTCCCTGGAGGGGCCTCGATAACAGGCTGTCGGGGCAGAAAGTAGGCTGGTGCAACAGTGGTGGTGGTGAAATGTCTGATTACTGGTGACAGAGGTTAACAGGGAGGAGGTGGAGCGGGGGGAGGAGCAAACAAAGACAGGGAACATTTGATCAACCCCAGGATAGAAGGAATACCGTGTTAATGGACCTGTCGTCCACTCCCAGTAGCTGGAACAAAACTAATTTTGCAGCAGCTCAGAGCTCTGGCGGTCTGCCTTGGTTGGGGGCAGAGGTGTCAGTGTTTGTTGAGTTTCTTTTAACGCTGGAATCAGAGAGGCAGATGTGTTGTGCGATAACAGCCTCAGGAAGGAGGCGAGATTCCTCCAGAGGTCTTGGAGCAAAAGGCCATCTGGTGGAAGTACAATCCTTACAGTACGTGCTTAAGACACCTACTGAGGTCTCAGCTATGGATACGATGTAGGCGATTAACAGCTGCAGCAAAAGTACATTAAAAAAATGACAAAAAGGTTTTAACAAAAGACAACTTTGTGTAAAAAGTGATATTTTCTCAGCTGCAAGAGGACGCGTATTTGACAGGGACATTAGTCTTTGAACCGAGACAAACATGGCTGTTTGTGCAGAACTGCAGGCCTTTAACACAACCGACCTTTATCACAAGTATAAAACACACAGTTCTCACTTATGTTTGAAACACTGTACATAAGTCTGACAGCTGCAGAGTCAAGAAGAGCAAATGTATTCTTCAATTCTTTCAAAAATACTCTTTCACAGTGGTCCACGTTCCACCCAGGGCACAACATGTGATGTTGTTTAGACCATGTTCCGCAGTGGCTGCTATTGATCAAGCTATTTTAAGTTATTCACTCATTTCCATGTCCTCGGTTTTAGGCCACATTTCTCTTATAAATAGTCTCTTTATTCCCCCCCAAGAATAAAATAAGGGCCAACTTTTATTCAATTAAAAGCCAAAAAGAATAATTGAAAAAATATGTTTATGAAAACTGATCTTAAAAGCAAGTAGTTGAGTAATTATAACAAAAAGATGCATAAATTCACAAAATTCCAAATTTTCAGTCTTAGGTTTTGCTCTCATTAATACTTGAAATTTTTTTTTTCTAAGATTTTTTCAAATTAATTTCTTCTGTAAGTTGCTTATTCATTCTTCTTTAATTCTGTTGTAAGACAACATTTTTAACTTGTCTGAAATACTAAAAATAAAAACTACTTGAGCAATTGTTGAAAAGCAGGTAGCCAAATGATTTTTTTTTTTTGAGACAAAGTGGGTTTGCCAGCTGTGGTTGTGAGCTCAGTCCCCACCAGCTGTGACATTTGATTCCGTCGCTGTCTTAAAGCCTTTGCTTCTTCACACATCTGAGGTCAACTGTGTACAAATCCTCAGATTACCTAGATCTGTCGGGTCAGTCGGCCAGGAATTTGAACTCTATTAAATCCGTAGAAAATAAATAAATAAAAGGGAAAAACAATGCTCAAGACATCTGCCAGAAAAAGGAAACCGAGTGTGTTCCTGCGTAGTACAAGACAAAGTGTGTGATGAGAAAGCCGACTGTACGACGTCTGCAGGAGCAGGAGATGCAGCGAATGAGGTGAGCGTCCTGAAGCACTCCTGGGGCACTTTATCTCATATTTCTGGACTGAGTAATGGCGGGGAATGTGAAAGAAAGGCTACACAATATCCAGGCAGGGGCAGACAGCAGTCAGCACCTCACTGGGTTTTTCAAGTTCTGTGCTCAGAGGAATGCAAGGTCTGCGGTTAGTAAACCTGCAGCTGGCAACAAAGTGCTATTTTATCAACATTTGGAAAGAAACAATTGAAAACTGAACTGAATTCTAGTGACGTCATATCCCAGTGGTAAGCTTCAGGAGCTGCGGGGCATTCGTGTGAACAAACAAAACCACCTCAGTCTCTCACCAATCCAGTCTGGCAAGATAACGACTGACAGCAACAACAGAAGTGAAATTGAGTGTAAGGTGGTGTCTTTCAACACCGCCAGACACCACGGGCTTCTTTGTGACAACGGGAAGGAAAAGTCCAGACTTCCTCCCAACTGTTCATAGGTCAAAGAAGGCGTAGCCAACCTTCCACCCAGAGTAAAAAAAAAAGAAAAAAGGAAACAGACAAAAAGAGTAAGACTATAACAGGATGTAGAAGACATCAATCATGAGATCATCGCTGTGGAGAAAATCCCTCAGCAGGTTTGAAATTTATAGTTTCAAGGTACAAGAACACAGTGTTTTCGTGACGGTACAATCTGCACCGTTCTACCTGGGTACAGCTGACATGCACATTTGAGTTGATGTGCTCTCACTTGTCCTGAGGGGGAAACCACTTCACAGGGGAGAAAAAAAAAGCTCTCAGGAATGTTTGGAATTCTGCAACATGTCATATGTTTTCAAAGTTTCAAGGGTTGTTGAGAAGGTTTGAGGGGGAGGGGGGCTGTAATGCAACCACAGTGTGATTGTTTTACCTTTCTTTAAGTTGGAAAGATTAGAGAAAGAGGAGCCCTGAAAAAAATTACATCTGCACGAGTAACATGTGGCACCAAAGCAGTAACGTTGGTGGTACAAACTGAGGGTATAAACTGAAAATCTAACAGGGAGGCTGTAGAGCTCACATGATGACACTCGTGCTGACGGTTACAACGGATTCGACAGGGGGTAAGACAAGAGGCAACTAAAGACCGAGGCTGACTACGGTTGCATATTTCTCACAGGAGTGAAGCCATATTAGTACAGAGATGTGAGGAAGCTGCTGCCTGATCCTTATGTTCCCTTCTGCAATGTAGTACTTCAACATAGTCTATATCGTAGAAGGTCGAATGTATAATCCTAAAACAATAACTGCTGAGCTGTCAGCCAAAAAAGTCCAACAAGGTCAAAATCTTATTGTTATCTGATGCAGTTAAACACTTGATTTCACGCAGTTAGAGATAATTAACGTTGTGTTTTGCTCCATCGACGCACAACAACTGCATGCGGCATTTGTTTGGTGCACGCTCGCTCTAATGCTGGAGTCACAACAATCACAACTTGAATGAAATGTTGCCAACAATTAGGTTCACAGTCTGACGCTTTTAAAGCAGTGACATCATTATCTTTCGGTCACCCCACAGCGTGTGAAAACAACTACATGTGTATTGACATATATTAGAGGTGGTGGAAATACAACCCGTGACATTCTGCCCACATCACTTACAAAATTGTAATTTCATTTTTCCAGCCTTTTATAAATCCATTAGTTTCCATTAGAGCAAGTGTTTAATTTGTTTATTTCGAATTACATTTTGCCTTCATGCCAAACATGCCTTTTTTTTTTGCCGTTCACCCAACTATTGTTATACGTTGACCTCGGTGCTTCAACAGACACATAATTTAATTGCTGGGCACTCTCTATTATCCTGACTGTAAAATATTGATGAACTGCCAGGGCCACGCTTGTTAGAAATCCATCAAAAATAACACATTTAAATCGTAGCTAAAGGTGAATTCAATTACAGCAGGTGAAAATGCCAGGATTGAACCCAATGAGACAGACGATATCCTCACATTGTTGATCCTAAATAAGAGTGAATTATTTATCGGTTGAAGTGGGGAGAAACTGAACACCAACCCAAGCCACCTGAGGAGAGACGGGGAAGTGAAAGTGACACTAGGACGTGTGAGGAATAAAAAAAGGTGCTGAGAATCTGCTTTTCCTTGAGCCTTTGAAAAAAAGAGGCACCTCAGCTGCACGAAACATGAATTTATAATGACTCCTCCCCCAGTGTGGCACAGGGAGGTCGACGGAGCAGCCATAAGGTTGACCTCACCTTGAATGTCTGCCAGCGTGCACCTGAACAAAAACCTTTAGTGTCACGAAGTCACGCCGGAAAAGTTCGGGAACTTTGTGGAAGTAACTTCACCCTGGTAGAAAGTCAACTTTTCTACACTGTGGCTGATGCCCCCCTGCTGTATGTCACTGTAATCTTCAGAGGATCGAAGCTTCAGGCTAAATGATTCGCCAAGCTACAAAGAAATTTGAGATTTTTCTCACTGAAATGGTTTTGACGAACTGATACCAAACCAACTCCATTCAGCTGAGGGAAGGAAATGACAGGTGGTGACGGGAGTGGTAAACCCAGAGCCACAAGGCATCGGCATGCTGGGGAAAAAAAAAAAAAATCCAGGCCACTCCTGAAATACTGTATTTGGACTAAAAAAGACGCAGAAGAGAAAGGACAGAAAAGAGTCCACATGCACTGTCCTGGGACATCCAGCTCAGGGACAGTGAGGTCAAATGGACAGGACAACGAAGGACACATTCCACTCTTTTAAAGTTTTATCCTGTTTGATGGACCTTCAAACATTACCACAGATGTAGTTTGTAAAGTGCAGCTTCAAAATGTAAGAGTGGACGTCACGCTGGCTCTGCAGTACAAGTCACACGCTCTGATCTTGCAAAACTGCGACCGTCCCGGCTTGTGACTTCTTGGTTTGCAACATTTTAATTAAATTTCCTGTTTAAACTGTCACAATCATTATATTTTTTATTAGGCTACTTCCTGCCACATGGTGAAGAGGCATTTCCAGTCGACCGATCTTCAGAGTCAGCAAGACAAACAGGAAACATAGCTCTGACCCATCACCGTGTCACACACCACACAGAACCACGTAGACACACACACACACACATATATATATATATACATACATATACATATATGTGTGTGTGTGTGTCGGCTGGGTGTGAAGACTAGCTGTGAAGCAGCTCAGCAGTCAGAGCAGATGGTGATGGCTCTGTTCACCCAAGGACACATTACTTCCTCTACATACCAGTGACTTTGGTTTGTCCAAGTGCAACCTGCTGGGGCTTCACACAGAAACCACACGGAAACACACACACACACACATATATATATATATATGTATATGTATATATGTATATGTATGTATATATATACATATATACATATACATATACATATATGTGTGTGTGTGTGTTTCCGTGTGGTTTCTGTGTGAAGCCCCAGCAGGTTGTACTTGGACAAACCAAAGTCACTGTCATGTAGAGGAAGTAATGTGTCCTTGGGTGAACAGAGCCATCACCATCTGCTCTGACTGCTGAGCTGCTTCACAGCTAGTCTTCACACACAGCCGACACACACACACACCCACAGAAACACTGAAACACATACACACCCACAGGAGGGGATGGAAATGTGACAGAGTGGTGCTGAAAGGACAGGCTGATTCGAGCCAAGACATGTCGATATGTGCACACTTCGGCTGGGAGTGCACACTTTTTGTCTGTGTGGGTTTCTGTCAGAGGCAAAGAGAAACCACAGCGTAGTGACTAACCTTAGGGAGAGATTTGGAAAAGTGCACCGTTACTCTGACGGCAAATTAGCAAAAAGCTTCAGACCAAAAAGAAAAAAAAAGCCCTGAAATCCTCCCACATGATGTCAGCACTTTAAACGAGATGCTGTGATACAGGAAAAACTACAACAAAACATTAATCACAACAGCTTTCTGATTTCCTACAGTTAACCATATTTTGTTATGGTTTGAGTTGAAACCAATTTAGAAAAAAATTAAGGACCATTTCTTAGAGACTTCTTAAATATCACTTCCTGAATGATCAAATTTACGCACTTAAACGTCCTGTGCTAACAGTACTGAAACTTTGCTGATTAAAAAAAAGAATATTTGCTCTTTGAACCTCTGAGTGTGACAGCACTGACTGAAAACCTGCTTGAAAGATAAAACAGCAAAAAAAAAGCTGAATGATTGGTTGTTTTCTACAATGACATCATAATGTGCAAGAATGCAATCAGCAAAATAGACTGTGATTTATAGCGAGCTGGACCATAAGTGAATGAGTGAACTGTCTTTATATAAAGTATTGAGACATTTATAGCAGGGGTCTGGACTTTATCCACCTATGTGATGTTTGTTTACAAAGAACAACAATATTTCTTTACTTAAAAGTAAAAAAATAATTGCAAACTTCAGATGTAACTTTCTATTCTAGAAAAATGTGATTTTTTTTTTTTTAAGTGGTGCAGAGACAGTTAAATCTTCGTCCTGTACGTGAGTGTGGGACGTTACTGGCACAAACCCTCAGAGTCCCGCCTCCCGATGCCAAATCATCTGAGGCCAAGGCAGAAAACCAAATTACAGGGAGTCCTGTGTGGGAGAGCAGCTGGAATGAACGGACACACCCTCCCTGTATCTGATATGGTGGGTTGACTTCCTGCTGTGGGNTTTCTCACCACTACTGTCACTCAATTTGTTCTGTGGAGGCGTTCCATTTTATTCGGGGAGTGGCTCTCAACCATAGACGTTACTATACTACAACTTAAAAAAAAAAAAACACAGAGAAAGGCTCAGTGGTGATGTTACAGTGTGATAAACCTTCTCAGAACGCTGCCTAAACACACACTGTGTCCACCATAATCATTGACTTAAATTAGCTGCTGTGTCCAAAACCAGGACAAACGTGGATTAGAGCGAGCTGGGTTTCCATGAAGAAGAGAAAAGGAGAGGGAAAAAAAAATCAATACTTTTAGCCTTAAGTGACTGTCTAACATCAGATTTACATCTTTGTCTGTCAGACATGCTGCCTTTAAATCACTGAAAAGCTCATCTCTCGATCATTTTCTTGTTTTAAAAATACAATGTATCGTCATTGAAAAGCTAAAAAAAAAATCATATAAGAAAAATAAATGGCTTTTTGGCAAAAACAAAGCTACTTTAGCTTAAATTGAAAAAAAAAAACACTCATTAAAAATGATGATACTTTAATTTAAGAAGAATAATAAAAGATACACTAATTAAAAATGATGATACTTTAATTTAAACTTAAACTTAAACTTAAACTTGTCTTTATTTATCATTTGTGACATAGCACAGCACAGCACACCATGCACAATGAAATTTAACCTCTGCATTTAACCCATCACCAAGTGAACAGTGGGCAGCCATGGTCGGCGCCCGGGGAGCAGTGCTTGAGGACGATGCCATGCTCAGTGCATCTCAGTGGCAACCTGGCAGTTGGTGGATTAGACTTTTAATTTAAGAAGAATTTAATTTAAGAAGAATAATAAAAGATACGGAAATTGCCAAAAGCAGGGTCTTGGCATAAATAGTCAAAACGCAACTGCGCAAACTGGCTAAAATATGTTAGGAAATACCACAGGAAACACATTTAAAATAAGCAATATCGCTAAGATTGAAAATAGTTGAGAGGACAAAGTTATATTTAGAAAGAAAAAAGGTTTTTATTAATATATACAAACTCCACAATTGGCCCCTGAGCCTCACTCTGGACACTGCTACATTAAGAATCTGGTCAATAGCAGTAAATAGGTTCATGTATGTGTCATTGTGAAGTGTTTAATGGTTAAATTAAGGTGTGCAGCTGCAGCAACAATAAAAGTCCTGCTCTGACATGATGGGCCTGAGTGCTTACAAGGCCATATAATAATACCCGACTCAATGGTCCTGCACAGTCCCAGAGGGAAATTTAAACTGTTTTGTGGTATTAAATGGTGAGTTTAATGACCTGCAGCAATGTAATGGACTGTTATGTTATTGTAATAATCATAAAACATGGACAGTGCAGTTTTTTAAACTGTAACCAGACAGTTAACTTTAAGTCCAGTCAGCAACTGGAGCAAATGTGACTTCATGTATTTTAAGAATTTCTGGGTAATAAAAATCATTCAACGTTAAACAGAATTGCTTTAACTAATTTTTACTTATAAAAGATAAATTGTAGCCAATTAATAAAGTTCTATCTATCTATATAAAATGTATTAAGATAACTAAAGGTTTCCCAAAGTAGTAAAATGTTAGCAAAAACAAAATCCAACACTTATTGTATAAGAAAAAGTTGTTAGCAGTAGCTAAAAATTAACCAACATAGCTGTGACTTGATGCAGAAATATCTCAACTACAAATTGCTAAACATATATTGCATATAGGTAACTGATAAGCAGGTAGCTCAGGGACTAGCCAAAAATAATACACACAGACAAGAAATTGTACTTACTATCATTATTCGTTACAGATTATTATATAAATTGAAATGTACACATTTAAGCAGAAACAGCTAAATTGTAGAAGAACTTTGCTCCAAACTAGAAAAAGGGAAAAAAACAAGAAAAAGACAAACAAGACAAAGAAACAATAACTCAATGGATGCAAACAAAATAAGCACTAGCCAAAATTAGCTTAAACTTAACATCAATACGACTTCTGTAGAAATAACTAAACAAAATATAAACAGCAGTGATTTGCAACATTGGAAATCAACCAAATGATCACAAACACTAAAAAATATCTTTACACCAACCTGCCTGCGGTGCAGATGGTTCACTAAACTATTCATTTTTTTAGGAACTACTAAGTGCGGACTATGGGACTATATCTGGCACATGATAAAGAGGAAAAAGGAGAACACGGTTGAGCAACGATAAGTCTTTTTACAACAAATGTGGGGAAACTCGTCTGTAACATAACTTCCAGATTTACGACACTCGGGGTCTAAAAATGACACCACGGTCGGTTGGTCATCAACTAGAGAAAATGTTTACTCCTTGTATATGAGTACATTCATTTTTTAAATTTATTTTATGTTACATCTAAAGTGTGTATAGTTCAGTGACTCAACACCAGGCCTTCGTCACTTCCGAAACAACCCGCTGTATTATTTTTAAAAAGTCGACACACCCTCAATCAATTTAGCCGAAACAAGTCCATACAAATGAATAAATGTATTCAAATATTGCTATATGTTAACACATGGTCTTCTTTTTAAAAAAAAATCGAAGTCGGCTCATTAAAACTGACACTTCAGATCGGGAAGAACCGGGCGACTCCCTCGGACTCCATCCACATTTCCTGTCCCAACAAACCATTCAATTCCGAGTCTCCGGGAAGCGACAAAAGGCGGCTCTAAGCCTCTACAACAATGCGGCGGCAGTTGACTTCACTTACCTGGACATAGTTGTTCTCGCAGTAGTCCGCTACTCTGGTAAGGTTCTGGTAACTCTCCACTAGCGCCCGTTTACCGGCTGGAATCTCTTCCTCTAACAACATTTGTAGCTCTGCCATCTTACATGTCTCCTCCGAAGAGCCTCCCTGTTCCCTCTGCCTTCCCCTTGACTGAAGCGCACACCAGAGAAAAAAAAAACACACATTCACTCCGCTGACTCCTATTGTGGGATTCCTGCCCTCACTCTGACGTCAGCGTGTAGGTAAAGATCGCATATGGTTGTGAAGAGTATTCACTGAGGACGTTTAAAGGACCCGAGCCTTAAACCGGAAATCGGACGGAAACAGAATATTAATAATTAGATTATGAATTTTTTTAAAGCTAATCTTTATAGCGTTCCACTTTTCTTCACGTCTCAACTATAAAACTCTTGGAAGGAAGTACACGTTTAATGTTAGTACATTCTTGTCTCGAGTCTGTTTATGATCTTAACATCTTCCAGATTCTAGTTTGCACATCCAGTTTGTACACTCTCAAAAAATATAAATCTATTCGAAATCTGGGTTATTAATATATTTATGTTTAATTTAATTTAAAAAAATCAGTGTACATTTGTAAATATAAACATAGCTAAATTTAGTTAAAACAATCCAAAGCTTTTTAATTTTTTAATTTCCATAAATTAGACGCCATAGTTGTACTCCTTAAAATGAAACAAAGTAAGAACTCGTTCTTTTTTATTGCTTCTACCTATCAGGTCTGGACACAAAGTGGAGCATGCTGGGACAAGTAGTTTGTTCGTCAGTTACAGTTACGTACACAATTTTAAAAACATTTCTTTCTTCTGAGAAATGATTGCAATAATTGTTTAATTGTTCCAATTTGTAGATTCATTTTGTTCCCACCGTTTTCTCAAGCTAAATCATCGAACGAATTAGAGAATTGTGGGAGTTGTAGGACCTGACTCAGAAAACTACAACTCACAGAGTCCCCTCCGTAATACCTTAATATGTTGTTGATGGCGTCTGGTGAAGGTCTACAGACAGGTCGCCGTCTGACGAGCAGATAGGCCGGTCGAATTTAACGGTAGGTGGTGTCGTTTTGGAGACGTTTTGTGGTAAATTCGAAAACCGCAGCCAGCATTTTGGCTCAGTCGTCGCGTCGGTTGCATCCGTGTCGCAGGTAAATATTGTGTCCTAGATTTTATACAGCTGAAAATCTCCCTGGTGGCTGTCAAAACATACAATACATTGTTATTAGACAGAGCTGATGGTTCCAGTGTGAGCCAGTAAGGATACATGCACTGGAAACTAGCATCTTTTTCTTTAACTTGGCATTTGAATGCTGTTATTTGATATGGTGGTGTGTTTACTTGTTGCTCGATTTTTCCCCCCAGGTTGCACTTTTGGACTATTGTTGCATGATGGAGGTGGAGAATGTCAGGATGGATTTGCAAAACAATGAGAATTGTTTGATTCATCGACGGTTCGAAGCCGCCGTGAAAGTGATCAAGAGTTTACCCCCCGATGGTGAGTCGATGTGATGTGAGCAACACAACGAATAAGGACAGTATTGTTGTCAACCCCGAGCACCAACGTCCCAGAGTAACACTGCAACCCGTCCTGTTGTGATTGGTGTGGGTGACAGAACACTCTTTTAACCAGCAGTGCAAGACACTGCCTGTAGGTGTCATCACGATCAGTCGATTAACTTAAATAAACGTAAATAAAAACAGGTTTTTCATTGCAATGTCTTGTTAATACCATTATTTTTAAGAGACAAATGTTGAGTCTAAGTCTGAGTTGATACACATGATAAAATGTTTCAGTAAGTTGCACAATTTAAAAAAACGTAATTCGCATTCACAATATGGCCAGAACACTTGCAGGCCGACCATGATCAGAATTGATTCCACACCAACTGTTAATGCTAAGAATTCCTGACGATTCGGAGCCTTTGTAGAAAGTGTAGAAAATGTCTGTTTCTCTACAACAGATAATATGGGTTACTTGGGCAACACCCGAAAGAGCAAAGTATTATCTCTAAAAGTCGAGAAATCTTATCTTTTGGACCCTGTGTAAATCAGACTTTTCAGTATTTATTGACGGTGTGTTATATTCTAAATATAAACTTTAGTTGTTCATTCAAACATGTATAAACACAGACCAGTTTGACGAGTTCACCACATGAAACAATATTTGACAGCAGAGCAGTTTCGAAGCTCCTACTCTCAGTTGCAGGTGAACAGCTTGTTCAGCCTGGGATCTTGTGCTGATTTAAAAGCTTAAATCCACTTTAGCGGCTGCACTGACTGTAGACACATTCCTTGCTTCAGCCTTAGGCCTGCTGTGATTATCAGGACGGCAGATGGCCTTGAAAACCGCTCCGTTGTGACTGGGACACTCATTCATTTTCACTGGTGTCTTTCAGGTCCCTTTCAGCCTTCTAACGACATGATGCTGCGGTTCTACAGTTTTTACAAACAAGCGACGCTTGGGCCGTGTGACATACCCAGACCTGGCTTTTGGGACGCTGTTGGCAAAGCAAAATGGTAAAATAAAAACACGGCATTTACTGGAGTTTTTGTTAATAATTAAAATAAAAATTATTTTGAAGCTGAACAAATACTGTCTAAGAGCAAGAAAAAAATCAAATTTAAATAAACACTACTGTCTGCTAACTAACAGCATGAATGTTGCATTGTACAAGTAACAACATTTTAAGCACATTTATAATTGAAAAAAACTGCTCTGGAAAACAGTGTAAAAATGTGAATCTATGCTGCAGATAATTTGATTTATTTTCCACTAATGTTATTTGTTGTGAGGTTAACAAATTGGAAAGTGGAAATTAAATCACATTATCTGCAGCAGGTCTACTACAAAAGTACTACTTGTGGCCTAATTCTTCTGGAACCTTCCCAAACTCAACTTGCTGTGTAACAGTTTGATTTTTTTTTCTACTGTGACCTCACACTGCACAAAAAAGGAGAAAAGCCAAAACTAACTTGTCCTGGCAGGTTTCTCTGACCTGTCGGTCCAGTCCAGTGGATCTTTGGACGGAGCAGAGAGCTCCGGCCCACTGAAGCATTTTCACACATTCTACCATTACGTTGGTGTTTAAATGTGGGAGTTGAGACAGAGCTGTACTTTGACCCGCAGCTAACAGACAGAAGCTTGTCCTTAGACAAACTTTACAGAAACGGTTGGAAAATGGTACAAAACAAGTACAGCATGTTTGAGCTGCGGCCCACAGTCAAATGGAAATTTAAAATATAACGGGTTTTCTTTTCCCTGTTACCTAGGGATTCCTGGCATTCTCTGGGAGACATGTCAAAAGAAGAAGCAATGGCCGCCTATGTTGATGAAATGAAACTGGTCAGTGTTTTAACCCAGGTTTTACAGAAAAAAACAGTTTTAATTTTTTCAAAAATACCTCTAAAAAAGTATGGCTTTCAAACAATTGACAATCATGTTTTTCAAAAATACCTCTAAAAATTATGGCTTTCAAACAATTGACAATCATGATTAATCACAATCAATCGTGATTGTGATTAATCAGTATTATTATGATTAACAGAGACAATTCTGGACTTTTCTTTTGTGTAAATCAACCTGTGTATCAACTGTGTACAAGAGCAAATATTGTGAATGGTCGATTAATTAATGCTTTAAAATGTAATAATATATTAAAAAATGTTGCAATTTTTCTTTACATTCAAACATACAGATCCTGGAGGGTATGCCCGTGACAGAGGAGGTGGAGGAGCTCCTGCTCGTCCTCGGTCCGTTCTACGAGATGGTGGAAGAGAAGAAGAAGAAGATCACACAGATATCAGACCTGAGTTCAGGTAAAGTTTTCCAACAGATGGAAATCTTTTAACTTTTGGTTTCACAGAATGGCATTGAGGGTTTTTTTTGTTTTGTTTTTTTCTCTTTTTGAATATAAAACCCAGCTCGTTTGACAAAGTTTGCTAGGCAGCTGGAAGGCAAGTAACGTGACGTCAGAGTGAACCTCCCAGTCTGGTGGTGTGGTTTCAGTAGATCTGTGTGGTGCTGTAGCCCAGATGCTGTTAGTGCTTAGCTGTTGTAGCACAAAGACTCTGTGGTTATGATCACACTGCAGGCCCAAATCCAACCCAGGCCACTTTCATGTCAGGTCTGACATTAGAAATGTATGCAATGTTTTTCCAGCTCCGTGGACATGAAGTGGGCCAAGGTCTGCACTTACGAAAGCTGTAGTTCAATGGAGGTCGCATTGAGACTATGATATGAACCACCAGGCAAAAAAAATAATAAATCAGATCCGAGCAAAATAATCACAATTGAGAAACAAGACCTGCAGTGTGAACATAACCAGAGTGGTGTTGACCGTCACGGGCCAACACACTGAGTTCTGTCTGAAATACAGAACATGAAGTAGCTCCTCGTTCCACAGGGTTTGGTACCACGATGGATTCCATGAGCGTCACAAAGAGCATCGTCAGAAGTATGGAAATGAACGGGAGCCTGAGGACTCAGCCTGACCGGCTCAGAGTGAAGGAGACTTCGGAGGAAGAAGAGGAGGACGAGGATGAGGCAGAAGAAGGAGAGGTTAAGGAGGAGGAAGAGGACGTAGAACTGAGGGAGGACAGGAAAGGTATTGGACAAGCGTCCTCTCTGTGAAGTAGACAAAGAGTAGACCTGAAGCTGACTTGTTGGGTTTTTTTTTCTTCAGCTTTGCAGCCAAAGAAGAGGAGACACAAAGTCCCTCTATCCAATGGTAAAATGACAAACGGGGTCAACCACCTGACCAACGGGGGTCATTCTAAGGTCGCTCTGAACAGTGACTACTCTGTGGAGGGTTTGGTTGGCGAGCATCTCCTCAATGGTCACCATGCAGGTGAGAGAATCAACTTTTGAGGACGTTCTTCTCAGTTAGACTCTCCTACTGTTCCGTGAAACATTTGAACTTTGCGTTCTTCACCTTCGCATTTCTTCATCCTTAACTCAGATCTCGTTGGTGACGTACCAGGTTCCAACCACGTCGCCAGTGACTCCGACAGTGAAGTCTACTGCGATTCTGTCGACCAGTTTGGACAGGACGAGGTGGGTTGTTAGCATTGCAATTAACTCCAGACAGGAGGGTTCCAGGGAGGAGAATAATCACCTTTGGATGTCAAATGTCGATTCCCTCCAGAGTCCGGACCTTAACCGCTCTCTGGAAGACCTGGACGAAGAGGAGCCCCAGGGGCTACAGCCTCCAGAGACGGCACAAAGAATCCAGGCTGACGTTCACGGTCCTCTGAAGATGATCAAGTGTGGAGGAGAGGATGGAGACAGCAGTGGGACAGCGCCGCAGAGACAGAGGCTGCATGGAAATGTTCAGAACATCAGAGGAGGGAGAGGTCGGTTTGGAAATTTTCAAGTTGATTTTTTTTTTGGTCAAGTTTTCCAGGCTGAACAGTCTGTCTGCGTTAGGCTCCAGGTCTCAGGTTCCTGGCCCCGGAGCTCTGATGCCACTGCACAGCGGTGAAGACGGGGACCAGGGTCGTGGCAGAGGACTGGTTCCTCCTGGAGGAAGCCTGAATGAGCAGATAGTGGTGGCGCTGGCGAGGCTACAGGAGGACATGCAGAGTGTCCTGGAGAGGCTGCACACACTGGAGGCGCTGTCTGCCAGTCAGGTCAGACGTTAATGATGACGTTTTACTTTGAAGGAACAGAAACGAAAGATAAAATATCTATAATATGATATATATCTTTGTTATATAAAATCATAATAATAATGTTGCTCAGTGTCAGATTAGAAATGTGACAGTCATCGTCATGAACAGATTAAAGTGAGCAGTTTGAACATTAACCTCGGTTATGACATTTGTGTCTAGATGAAGCTCAAACAGAGTTAAGATAAACAGTACGTACTTTGACTTTTTTTTTTTTTTTTTTTTTAAACAATTTCTATATTTTTTT